TATGTTGAACCGTCCCTGCATCTCTGGGGTGAAGCCTACTTGATCATGGTGGATGATCTTTTTGATGTGTTCTTGAATTCAGTCTGGGAGTGTTTTATTGAGTATTTTTGCATCAATGTTCATGAAGGAAATCTGTCTGTGATTCTCTTTCTTTCTTGCATCTTTGTGTGGTTTGGGTATCAGGGTGACTGTGGCCTCATAAAATGAATTTGACAATGTTCCTTCTGTTTCTATTTTGTGGAATAATTTGAGGAGTATTGGTATTAGGTTTCTGAAAATCTGGTAGAATTCTACACTAAAATCATTGGGCCCTGGGCTATTTTTGGCTGGAAGCCTTTAAATGACTGTTTTCATTTCCTTAGGGGTTATAGGTATATTTCAATTGTTTATCTGACCTTGATTTAACTTTGGTATGTGTTACATATAGAGAAAACTTCATTTTTTTAGACTTACCAATTTTGTGGATTCCAGTTTTTTAAAATATGACCTAATAATTCTTTGAATTCACTTGTTGTCTGTTGTTATGTATCCCTTTTCATTTCTGATTTTGTTAATTTGGATTTTCTCTCTGCTTTTTAATCAGTTTGGATAAAGGACTGTCTATCTTGTTGATTTTTCTCAGAGAACCAAATCTTTTGTTTCATTGATTCTTTGTATTGTTCTCTTTGTTTCTATTTTATTGGTTTCAGACCTCAGTTGATTATTTCCTGCTGTCTACTCCTCTTGGGTGTGTTTACTTCTTTTTGTTCTAGAGCTTTCAGGTATGTTGCTAAGGTGCTAGTATGAGATCTCTAATTTCTTTATGTAAGCACTTGGTGACTTTTTCTCTTTAACACTGCTTTCACTGTGTTCCATCAGTTTGGGTGTGTTGTCCATTCATTTTCATTGAATTCCAGGAAATCTTTAATTTCTTCATTTCTGCCTTGACCCAGTAGTCATTCAGTAGAGAGTTGATCAGTTTCCATGTTGTTGAAATCCAGCTTTAATTGTGGTGGTCTGATAGGATGTAAGGGGTTATTTCAATTTTCTTCTGTCTGTTGAGACTTGCTTTGTGATTTAATATGTGGTAAATTTTGGACAAAGTCCAAAGTGAAGTGCTGAAAAAAAGGTGTATTCTTTTGTGTTTGGGTGAAATGTTCTGTAGATATCTGCTAGGTCCATTTGGTTCAAAATGTCCGTTAGCTCCATTATTTCTCTGTTTTGTTTTTTGTCTGGATGATCTATCCATTGGTGAGAGTGGAGTATTGATGTCTACCACTATTAGTTTGTGAGGGTGATGTGTGATTTAAGCTTTAGTAATCTTTTTTATAAATGTGGGTGTCCTTGCATTTGGAGCATGGATGTTAAGAGTTGAAGCATTGCCAGGTGGTGGTAGAGCATGCCTTTAATCCCAGCACTGGGGAGGCAGAGCCAGGTGGATCTCTGTGAATTTGAGGCAGCCTGGTCTATAGAGCAAGATCCAGGACAGGCTCAAAAGCTACACAGAGAAAACCTGTCTTGATATACCCCCCTTCCAAAAAAAAGAATTGAAACATCATCTTGTTGAATTTTTCCTTTGATAAGTATGAAGTGTCCTTGCCTGTCTTTTTTGGTTAATTTGGTTTGAAGTCTATTTTGTTAGATGTTGAAACAGCTTCACAGCTTGCTTCTTGTGTCCAAATTCTTGGAAAAATCTTTTTCTACCCTTTACTCTGAGGTAAAGTCTATCTCTGATGTTGAAGTGTATTTCTTGTATGAAGCAGAAGAATGGATCCTGTTTTCACATCCATTCTGTTAGGATGTGTCTTTTTATTAGGGAACTGAGTCCATTGATATTGAAAGATATTAATGACCAATGATTGCTACTTCCCGTTATTTTTTATTGTGGTAGTATGTGTGTGTGTCTGTTTCCCTTCTTTTGGTTTTGCTGGTGTGAGATTATTTATTTCCTATGTTTTCTTATTTCCTGTGTTTTCATGAATATGTATATATATATATATATACATATACATATATACACACACATATATATTGATTATAGAAAATCTGTTTCGAATTTTAGAGAAGATTCAGATTTAAGAAAGGTACAGTCAGTTTTTCAAAAGTGAAAATTGCACACTAGAATAACTGAGAATTTCCTCAAGAACGTCTGTATATATCAAGTATTATAGTCTACTTCTCTTTCAAAAATCTGTCATTTTAATATTTTCATGGGTGTAGTTAATCTCCTTAGGTTGTAGCTTTCCTTATAGTGCCTTTTGTAGGGCTGGATTGGTAGATAGATATTGTTTAAATTTAACTTTGTCGTGAACCATCTTGTTTTCTCCATCTATGGTGATTTAAAGTTCTGCCAGGTCTGGGCTGGTATGTGTGGTCTCTTAGAATCTGCATGACGTCTTTCCAGGCCCTTCTGTCTTTTAGATTCTCCACTGAGAATTCGGGTGTAATTTTAATAGGTCTGCCTTTTTATGTTACTTGGCCTTTTTCCTTTGCAGCCTTTAGTATGCTTTCTTTGTTCCGTATGTTTAGTGTTTTGATTATTATGTGGTAAGGGGATTTTCTTTTCTGGTCCAATCTATTTAGTGTTCTGTAAGCTTCTTGTACTTTATAGGTACATCCTCTTTTAGGTTAGAAAATTTTTCTTCTATGATTTTGTTAAAAATATTTTCTGTGCCTTTGAGTTAAGATTCTTCTCCTTCTTCTATTCCTATTATTCCTAGGTTTGGTCTTTTTATAGTGTCCCAGATTTCTTGGGTGTTCTGTGCCAGGGATTTTTTTAGATTTAACATTTTCTTGGAGTTCTGTATCTATTTCTTCTATTGTTTTCTTCAACATCTGAGATTACTCTTCCATCTCTTGTAATCCGTTGGTGATGTTGCATCTGTAGCTCCTGTTTGTTTACCTAGATTTTCCATTTACAGAATTCTCACAGATTTTGTTTTCTTTTTTGCTTCTACTTCCATTTTCAGGTCTTGAACAGTTTTATTTATTTTCTTCAAATGTTTGTTTTTCTTGACTTTCTTTCAGAGATTTATTCATTTACTACAATTGTTTGTGTTTTCCTGGATTTCTTTGAGGGATTTATTCATTTCCTCTGTGAGGACCTCTATGATCTTCATCAAGTTGGGGTTTAAAGCAATTTCTTGTGCTTCCGCTGTGTTGGAATATTCAGGGCTTGCTACAGTAAAACAGCCAGGCTCTGGTGGTGACATGTTGCCCTGGCTGTTGTTGATTGTATTCTTATACTGGCATCAAGGCATCTGGGTCTGGGGTGGTTTGGGGTCTTGGTACTGATTTATGAGTTCTTCTTTATTGGATGGGTATTTTTTCCCCCTTGGTTCCTGTCTCCTCTTTTATCTTCTGGTCTTTGCAGCCTGGATTTCTAACAGCAATTCCAACAATGAGTCTTTGTCACAGTTGGGGACTGGACTTCTGGCTTCTAGGCTCTCTACCAACATTGGAGGGTAGAAAATGATGATGAGGAAGAGAATAGAGATTGGGGATAGTGTGGGGACCACCTAGAGAGTGGAGAAGGTCCACAAGTGGCTGCCTATCTGGAGTTATGCCTGCTGTATGGTCTATGGCCCAGCAGGGATTTTCTGTCCAGGTTTTCCTATCTGTTCTCCTGGCTTGTGTGGTCCATTTTTCTAGCTGGCATGACCTATGCTTATTCTTCAAACTGACATGGCTTGCACCTGTTCTCTCCTTATAATGTCTTAATTAACCTTAACAAGATAGATTAAAATGAAAACCAACAGGGACAAATAAGCAGGCAAATGTTTGGCTCCAGTTACTTTTTCACTTAATTTTATTGTAAAATTTATTTCACTTTCTTAATACTGGGTAGGTACTCATGCCAAGGTGTGCATGCGGAGATTGAAGGATAACTTTGGGGAGTCACTTCTTTCTTTTCTTCTTTGCATGGGTTCTGGGGATCTAACTCGGGTAGCCAAGTTTGTGTTGTACTTTACCTGCTGAGCTGTCCTGTTGAAACATCTTCATTAATGTTGTATCTTAGGCTTTGTCCATGGTCTTAAATGGAATCTGAGTTCTCAGGTTAAGTCAAAAATTTATGCTTGGCTTTTTATTAGTCTGAAAGAGAACTAAATATTTAACTCCCCCAAGTTTCCATGCTGTTATATGTAAAATGAAGGAATTCTAACACCTCACTGAGGAAATGTATGAAAACTACTGCAACTGTACAGTGATTAGTAGAACATAGTCAGGTCTTTGCAAGCAAGAACAAGGAAGTCAGGCCAAAGCCTAGTCCTCAACACTAGTTCCCAAGCAAGCACCCAGTTTCTTCACTTGTAAAGAGGTATGGCAATATTCTACTTCATATGTCTGATGAAGATTAAAATAACACATTTTAGTAAAGTGTAAATAATTGAGTAATTGCTAAACTTCTTGATAATGTCTCAGGATGGAATCATCACAAGGTTAAATATCCATGAATTGATTTTTTTCCCCTCATAAAGGTATTATATTGATATGCTTTCAAATCAATATGTCTATACAAGATCTTTTCAAAAATTGTTGCAGAAAATCTATTTTATCATCATCTTTTATTATGGCATTTTTTATGAATAGTAACAGCACAAATTAATGGAGTTCATTGTGCCATTTTCATTCATACATATACACATATATTATATATATGTATGTTATATACATTGATTATAGAAAATCTGTTTTGAATTTTAGAGAAGAGTCAGATTTAAGCAAAGTACAGTCAGTTTTTCAAAAGTGAAAATTACACACTAGAATAACTGAGAATTTCCTTAAGAACTTCTGTATATATCAAGTATTATAGTATATTTTTATTTTAAAAATCTGTCATTTTAATATTTCCTAAAGTTGAGAGAAATATGATTTATGTCTGCTGACAAAAATGAAAATTAAAGGGTCTACTTAGCAATTGTGCTTTAGTTTTACATTGAGATAGTTACCACCTTTTAAGTAAAAATAACTTGCATGCTGGTGAAACTCTAACACTCTTTAATCTTCTATTTCTTTGCAAGATAATAGTTGGAGAAACCGCCGTGTTTTGCCTACAGTTAGCCACAAGGGATTTTGAAAACCAGGAAAAGACTATTTTAACTGGAGACTGTTGCTATATAAACCCACTGGTACGTCGAACTGTCCGATTTCTTGGTATGTATCCATTGGCTTACTTTTATTCTTGTCCATAAAGATGATCATACATAAGACAATAACAACAACAAGGACATAATTTCCTCATTAAGAATCAAAGACTATAACCTCTGAATATTATTTTTTTAAGAAAAATTAAAATAAATGACTTGGTGTGTATATAAAGTTTCAGAATGAGTGCATGGGAAAAAATAGTAATCCTAAGTAGATCAATCAAGATTGATAACTTGGCAAAAGGGGGAATATCATATTTAATAAGCTGTACTCCTTGCACTAGTCCTGAACTGGTTTTCAGGGAAACTAAGCTATGTTAAAGTTTTGCTAGAGAACAAGTGATACTGATACTTTAGCTTTCACCCTGCAAAGGTCAGCACTTAACAAAACGACACATTGCTAAGCATTCTTGTAATTCAATAGAAATTTTATCGGACATGAAAGTTTAATGTAAACTATCATTTCCTGGTTTGTTGGCTTGATGCAGGGGGAGAGGCTTGGACCTACCTCAGCTGAATGTACCAGGCTCTGCTGGCTCCCCATGGGAGGCCTTGCCTTGGAGGAGGTGGGGATGGGGGGTGTGTTGGGGAGAGAACTGGGGGACAGGAGGAGGGAGGAGAGGGGAATCTGTGGTTGGTATGTAGAATGAACAGAAAAAATCTTAATAATAAAAAAAAGAAAAAAGAAAAAGAAATAAAATGACTACAGCTGTTCATATTAAAAAAGCATGTAATAAAAGGAAAAAAGAAAAAGAAATAAAATGACTACAGCTGTTCATATTAAAAAGCATCAAAAGAATTTTGATGAACATTGAAAGATTCATCAAGGAGCCTGCTACTCTTATGTCATGGGGCTCAAGATGAAAACTTTGGACACAGAAAACATCACACTATAGCTACTACACTGGAAACAACGGCATAAAAGAATCAAAACTGTACGATTCTCTGAGGACATAGGGACTTTATTTGGAAGACTGAACTTTCCACTGTCATCAAGTTAGGTATCTTCAAAGCCCCCAAGTATCATTTGAGGTAATAGTATATAAAATATGTAAACATTATATGATAAATATTATAAAAATATTTATATTTAATTTTTAAGATATGTATATATCTCTTAAAATTTTATTTTTCCTTTGTATTAGTAATGTGCCCTCAACTCATTTCTCTTTGAATGTGATCCATTTAAAAACAAAATGAGTAACAAGCAATGACATCTGCAAAACTAACAGTACTTGAAATCAGTACTTTACTAAGTACTCATGAGCAAAGCTGGTTGGGTTAGTGAGCAAAAACATTCTCTGCATTTGCATGCATGTTTGTAAAGAGCACATGTCACAATGTAAAGTGTGCCTATTACACACCATGCTTCTTACTGATTATATACATTTTCTTTCATTTTGTTCCTTTATGGTGACCTGAAATTTCAAATCTGTTGTAAGAAAATGAAAGCTTGTAACTGAAGCAACACTGCATAAAAAGATTGCACTTTGTATAGGGACTTTGTGCTTTTGGTTGAATGAGTGGCTACATCTACGGGATCCCATTTCAAAATTCATCTCTGCCACCAACAGCAATACTGGCTTTGGACCTGATACACGGACATTTTATTTCTAAGACATAGTCAGGAACTTTTCAAGTATCAAGAGACATTTCTATATTCTTCTCAAATATTTCTATTTTAAACAAGGGGACCTATTACACTAGATAAAAAGAGCAGTTTAGTTAAGAAATGAGTACATCTTAGCCTACATTTCAAAGGAGTACAGATGTCGATGCCAGTGCTTAGCTTTGAGGTTTTTGGAGGACAGATGATGTACATTCACATCTTACTGGCCTCAGTTTGCTCCCAGCTCTCTGCCTCTCCTGATTTTCTGCTTTTCACAGCCTGTCCTTGGTGTGATTCTTGGCACACTGCTAAGAGTCAAGAAAGGAATTTCTGCTGTCTTCTTCTGGAACTTAAAATAGAAAAATCAATGTTCCTATCACCTTGACATTTGGATAGTCAGAGTTTTGTTATGTGTGGATTTTTGTGCATAAAGAAACCTTACATAATATTTTGAAAATTAAAAGAACACCTATGGATCTAATACTAGAAAAATATTTGATCCTTTGCACCTTTCCCAATGATTTCCCAACACACCAGCCAGTAATGATGGAAGTATTAGAAAAATAAACAGTTCTGAAGTATGTAACTAAGAAGAAGAAGAATGTCTAATTTTTATAATAAAATTAATATGGCTTTTTAATAGGCCAATTCTTTGGGGGGAAATTTTATTTTGCTGTAAGTTTAAAAGTCCCTGGAGATGGAGAAATGGCTCAGTAGTTAAAAGTACATCCTGCTTCTACAGTGACCTTGGATTTTATTCCCAATACCCACATCCAGTGGCTCTCAACCACTTGTAACTACAGCTCCAGGGGATCTGAAGTGCCCTCTTCTGATCTCTGTGGGAACCTGCACAGATATGGTGTACAAATATGCACTCAGGTGCCCACACATACATGTCATATAAGATAAGTAAGTCTTGAAAATAATAAAAATAAAATAAAAATCTTAGTGGAATTTTTTTTTTTTTACTTCAAATTAGAAACCAGTAGATTTCTTCACATCAGAACTACACCTTTGAAGGTCACATTTTATGCACATCATTGTTACTAATGACAAAATTTGCTTTACCTATGTAGAAAAATAAGTTTTGTTTAATATCAAATCTTCCATAATATTTTAAAAATTAAAAGCACATCTGTACATCTAGTACTGGAAATTCATTTGGCCTTTGACAGCTTTCATGTAGGAAATGGCCAGTGATACTGATTAGAAAGTGCTTTTCATAGTCAAGCAAATTCGTAAGTTTAGTACAAAGACACAAAAAAGGCTGTGTACTTAGATTTGTACTTTCAGGTAACCACAGTAAAGACATTTTAATGCTGTAAAGACAGTCAAGAATTAGAACATTGATTATCTGCTTGTTTCTCAACTTGTTCCAAAACAGATAACTAGAAAGCAAATCTAAAAAAGATAAAGTGATACCACATGGTAGCTGCTCTGTGCCTTTGAAAAATGTGTTTCTGAAGGCAATGTAGAGATTTAATCCAAGAACAGTCTGCTTAAGATTTCTCTATGATATTTAAATGTAAACTGACGACACTGGATTTTACTGCTAACTGGTGCCTCCAGCAGAGGTGTTATGCATCTGAATGGGCTTAGGATGTATAATCAAAGAGATACAACTGCTTTGCTTTATGTTAGTGTGATAAAAAAAATGTCAAATATTGGAAAAAATAGAGATTGCTAACATTAGTAAAACACTATCAACTGCACCCTCTTAGGGATCTGTCTCTTCATTTAAAAACCTGCATCACCCAAACATAGTCTCAGAATATATTTTCTTCCTTTATCTTATGTCAGGTCAAACCTGCCATGCATGAAAATGTAGCCAGTGGTAGACAGCTCAATGTGTTAAATAATTTAACACCCTTAACTACTCCAGAAAGCCAAAGAAGGAAACTGGGGAGAGGTGAAATGAAAGGAACTTAATACATGCATGCATGGAATGCGTTAGAGTTTCTAAAATATTTCCATATTGGATTGTTATAGAATCCTTTAAAAAAAAAGAAGAAGAAGAAAGCTAACATTGTTTGTTTTCTTCCTTCCCCAGGAATTTATACGTTTGGACTGTTTGCTACAGATATCTTTGTAAATGCTGGGCAAGTGGTTACAGGCAACTTGGCTCCACACTTTCTGGCCTTGTGTAAGCCCAACTACACAGCCCTTGGGTGCCAACAGTACACACAGTTCATCAGTGGGGAGGAGGCGTGCACAGGCAACCCAGATCTCATCATGCGAGCAAGGAAAACCTTCCCGTCCAAAGAAGCCGCCCTCAGTGTCTATGCTGCCATGTATCTGACAGTAAGTCATGATCAACAATGCATAGTCCTAGCGTGAAATTCTTTTCTGCACCATAATGAGAGGTGTATATGGAAAACTAATGTTTTCTTTTGACCATTCCATTTATTTCTAAAAATGCCTGGTTGTACTGTGAATAATGTTAATTCAGCTGGCTCCCTTGAGGTCATGTGTGGGTAGCTGATTACATAAAATAATTGCAATTGGAATTTCTGTTTGTAAATATATTTGCCTTCATATTAAATAAGACTTAATGGGAAAAAAATTTGTTCTGTAGCACTCCCCACTACATTCTAATAGTATAATTTAGAGAACTGTCTGGGCTCCTGACTGCCTACTCAAGCTCTCAGATTGCCTGGTGCCGAGAGAGAAGGAACTCTTATTTTAGAAAGCTCTTTTGTTATTGGTAATTATCATCACAATGTCTCAATTGGTGTTTTGATATTTCTTCATAGGATTAACCAAAAATATCTTTAGAAATTATGGTTTCCTTTTATTCTTGAGTATTTGCCATCATTTTGGTGATAGGAGCCAGGTTCTGAGTATAGACATCCTAAGACCTTGAAGTAGGGATGAGTCATCACAGCTGGTTGTGTTATTGATAGCAGAGATGAGCAAGGGGCAGCCTTGGCTGGTAGCTCTTGACCCCACCATGCATGCCATCAGTTATCTCAGCTTTCCCAGGAGGTGTGCAGCTGTGGGGTTGAACTTCCGACTCATTTTCTGTGGACTTGTCCATCAACTGTGCTGAGAGGTATAGAGGATGTAGATGTCTTGGGGGCTTCTTCTCAGTGGTTCCAGAATTGACTCCTTTCTGATTTCAACTTATCAAGAAAAAAAGATTTGTAAAAAATAAAAACTAAAAATCCGGCCCAGCCTGAAACCAAATTCAATGATTTCTAATGACTTAGAAAAACTCGGAATTATTTTTATACTCCAGAAGCTCTTTGATGATGGAAGGATTTCTAATGCAATCATGTCAGGCTACCGCTAAAAGCAGAGAGTCTTGAGGGTTTCCCAGTGATATGTCTTTCTAAGACCGGAAATAAAGATTACTTAGTACAAGAAAAGTTTATGAGAAAAAAATGTCCCAGTGTTCATAACACTTCCAATGCAAGATAAATTCAGAGGTCACACAGTACAGATTTAAAGAGTTTTAGATTGCCATAGTTCAGTTTTTAAAGATAGGGTTGTTGCTTGTTGTGCAGATTGGTCTAGCATTCACTATACAGTCTAAGCTGGTTGCGAATATTTGGCAATCAGCTCACCTTAGCATTTCAAATGTCTGAACTGAGGCTTTCTAAAGCTTATAAACCATGATAATTGCATCCCTCACTGCCTGGTCTTTAAAAACCTTCCTATCAAGAAAATTTGTATAGCATTCTGGGAGTAAAGCTTTTCCTATCATTTTGTCGCCACTTCCTGCTGACTGCTGTGAAATGTTTGCTACGGTTCCCTTCTTGCCTTCTCACGCTGCCCCCCGAAATCCGTATGTTCCTCAAATTCTTCACTTTCTTTAGTCTATCAGCTTTGTGTGCTCCTATACATTGTAAGGTACCGCTCACCATTGAATGGAATGTGCTAACACACATATTCTTTCCTATTCACCAAGTTGCTTGACTACAGGCGTCTCCTCAGCTAGAATATGCAGCACTCAGCCATACAGGGAAGATTTTTAAATGAGTGAATCAGAAGGCATAAGGCAGTTTTCATCTATGCCTTCGTCTAAATCTGATGTTGACTTTTTGTATCTGTGTAGGGATTCTAAATATATCTGCACATGAATATGTGATCAAACAAATGCTGAAAGGGAAATTGCACAGTGCTTTCTGGAGCCAGATACTGTACTCTCCTTTAGTACCAATGGATGTTAGATTTTTCTATGTATCCAGTCTTTGTCAATGGCGATGAATATGCAACTAGAATAAAATACTTAGCCTTTTTAGTATCTGGAATAGTCCTTCAAAGACATTGCTATGGGACAGCTCATTGATCTCTTGTATTCTAGAAGAATCTTCCCATTTTATCTTACTGCTATTCTGTTGACCATCTGCAACTATTTCTTTTGGAAACTCGTGATTTGTACACTTCACTATTCTAGGCATAATAAAGACAAATATTGTATAAATAATAATTAATTATAATGACTTTAACATACATTTATTGAGCACTTACTTTTGGTTTGGGCTTTACTTTTACTCACTTATTACTTAACTCATTTTTAATGTTAATAAGTGTTAACATCTATTCATTTTATTTATATTTAATAATTCATTATGTGTAATCGTTTTTTGAACGCATGCAACATTTTGTAGCTGTATGTACTCACTCTACCCATTTACAGTTGTAGATACTGAGAAAGTGATGTACTTTGTTCAGATCTATTGAACCAAATATTAAATTTTGTTAGCTCTTATGTGTTCATGCTTAGTCAAAATCTCCCTTCCTCCTACATTGTTTCACCATCCAGTACAGTTTAAAGCTGAGGACACAGATGGTGATGAGATTAGAGAGCAGCCCAGTGCAGAGGAATCTTCTATCATTAAATGCTGTTCAGACTGAGAGTTAGGATCCCTGCTTGTAATTACATTGATGGGTACCTCTGTCTTTTCAACAATAGATTCTGTTCTGTGCTAACTGCTTTCTTCTCTTTCCTCACCACCTCTTTGTGTGTGAGAGAACGTGGGTGGCTGCTATGGCAACTCTGAATATAACTTCTGCTGCAAATACAGGATTTCCAGTCAGCTTTTACTGTTATATTTGAACTTACATACAAATGTATTTTGCCCCAGATTTACTAGTGACACCTTGGGAAAAACTTCATAATGGAAAGGCTGCGTGTTTCAAACTAATTCTGCCTCATGGAATGTTTGCTAGAATTTTGATAAGTGGGTATATAGGAAAGAATGCCTCATAAACAGTATTCTTTATGGAAATGATCTTGTGTTGGTGTGTAGAGATATGTTTACTTAATGTTAGATCATATACATGTGAACTCATAAGAATAAAGGGATACCAGTATGAAGTATTTGAAAATGAACTGAGAAATATTTGTTTGGTGCTTCTTTGCATGGCTTAGCATAAACCCAAAGAATTTGAACTCTCCCTAAGGGTCTGACTTTAATTAAGGCTTTGGGGATAATTTGATTGCAGATTTTTTTTTCTTTACTGAGAATTTAAAGGGAAAAAAAATCCCTAATCCTATTTTTACAAATGCTATTAGTTTCCCTGGTTGAAGGGATAATCTAAAAGTTATTTAACCCTCAACTCTCAAATTTCTAAAACAGTGTTAAATCATATTAGAATAATATTTAAATTTAGTTTTGTGTTTTTTAATATACATTGGAGAATGAGTTTTCAAGTTAAAAGGAAGGAAAAAAGTCTTTCAAAGTTGAGAATAAAAATCACGTTGGGAATTTCAGTTAATTCCATAAAACTTTAAAACAGAAAAGCATACCCTCATGTCTTTTGGTCATTCCAATTCTGACATTAATTTTTCTCACATTAAAAAATACTAAGAATACATGAGTTGGAAAGATGGTTCAGTGGTTAAGAGCATTGGCTGCTCTTGCAGAGGAACCAGGTTTGGTTCTCAGCCCCCACATGGTGGCTCACAACCATCTGTAACTCCAGCTTCAGGGAATCCTGATGCCCTCTTCTGGCCTCTGCAGGCATGAGGCATGCACATGGAGCACAGACATTAATGCAGGCAGCACACCTGAACACAGGAAATAGATTCTTAAGAACTTAAAAATGAGTAATTATAAGCCAGAGTCACTACATCTGTGGGCCTTGGTTTCCACTGTGTAGTGCCCCAGGTTGATCCACTCTAAAGCTACAAATGAGTCAACATCTTTCTCCTGGGTTTGGTTCAGCTCACCAGTCAGTTGGGAGTTTGCCTCAGTTGGTACAGCTAGATTAACTGGGCTTCTCTCATTCTTAAGAGGTCTTTCTGTTGGCCAACTTGCTAGATTGTGTCTCAGAACAGCCTTTCAAAAGGTTGAAGCCCCAAGTTTTAAGGCATCCAGAGACTTATGCTCCTGATTCCCTCAGCATTCCATCTTGGTGTTGTATCTTGTCTCTCCAGGCAAATCACAGACAACCTGTAGATGGAAGAGTCAGCCAATTAGACTACAAAAGATGGGTATAATGCCATAGGAGGAATTTGTGGTGGTTACATAATTTACCAACCTTTTCCCCCAAACAGTGGAAGGAGGAATACTGCTTTTCCTCTGCCTTTGGTGTCTGTGGCCAATCGTTGGCACACTCCTTCCCTTACTTCCTGCAGTCATATTTGTAGTTATCTCAGGGTTCCGTGCATAAAAGCTACAAATCATGTGATGCTGAGACAGGCTTAGACGAACACATCCCATTTGTTTCCTAAGATAGATCTGAAATCATGTTTAAATTAGAACATAAGGTGCATTAGAGACACACCCTGGGCTCCCATTCTGTCTTCTTTGTCCAGTGAGAGTCAGCTGCCATCACCAAGCTGCCCTCTAAACTTCCATACCTAAGAGTAACTTAATCTTAAAATGTCTAAGGTCCCTGGGCTTCAGATTTGATCAAGTGTCTACTCAGACACATATAAAAAATATCTCTTGGCACACAGTCAATTCAATAGCTATCCCATGACTTTGATGACCCATGCCACAGCTGCTGTTACTAGTCCACTGACACTTTGCCTGTCAGCTTTCAGCTAAGTGAGATTGTGTGTGGTGAGAGAAGAGACAAAGGCCATCTGTGAAATACCCTCTCTGTTCCACTGCCTTTGCTGTCAGGAACCCTTTCAGTCACACTGCTTCCCTTTCCTCACTCTCTTCCTTGAAGTCAGTGTTTTAAAATTTTCTATCTAATGCACAATCTTTCATACTACCTTGGACACAGGCTTTAAGCAGTTATTCGTAACAATAAAACATAATGATCCTATTTTGAAATTGCAAGCATAAAATTACAAAAACAAGTGAGTGGGATGGTGATAAACCCTTAAGCAAATGATTAAAGACACATACATACTGCATATTTTTTTTCTGCATATTTTTGTTTTACCTGGCTTCTAGAAATAAGACCTACATTTGTATGTTCTGTGACTGACATGTGGGCTTTTAATTCTGTCTGGCTTTTCAGTCATATCCCAGAAGTCTCTGTATTGTCAACAGTGTATCAGAGCCTCTGAGCAGGCTGAGCTCTCCAGTGCTGCCAGCTGACTTATTTCTGGCTGCAGTAAAGAGCATTGACATTTCAGCACATGTGGGCTTATTATCAGTGAATACAGTATTCACTACCCTTTTGTCAGATATTGAAAAGTATGTCACAGGCATTCATACGTTGGGTTTTCTTAGGCGTTAACAGGTTGATGTGGGACTGCAGCAAGCTGCACAGTCTCCTTAGGAAGGAGGTCTTACCAGCCCCAAACAACGTGAAGTGGTGAGGGTTGTATTGTGACTTTTGTGGGCACTGGGCACTATGCCTCCCTGGGATACTTTCACTGTATAAACCTTAAAAATTACATTTTATGACAGCATTACTGTGAAAAAAAGTCCATTCTTGGTTTGTTTTCTTTTGTTTTTTGACACAGAGTTTCTCTGTGTATCTCTGCCTAGCCTGGAACTCACTCTATAGACGAGGCTGTGCAGCTGAAAGTTTTCCTGTGTCCCACCCGGTCTGGAGCCGCTCAGACTCAAGTAAACACACAGAGGCTTATATTAATTAAAACTGCTTGGCCATTAGCTCAGGCTTACTACTGACTAGCTCTTGCACTTAAACTCAGCCCATTTCTGTTAATCTATATGTTGCCACGAGTTCCATGGCTTTTACCTGTGTGCCATTACATGCTGCTCTCTGGATGGCGCGCTGGCATCTCCTGACTCAGCCTTCCTCTTCCCAAAATTCTTCTTATCTGCTTATTCCACCTATACTTCCTGCCTGGCTACTGGTCAATCAGTGTTTTATTAAACCAGTGTACAAAAACATTATCCCACAGCAAGGCTGGAACAAGAGTCCCAGAGATCCACCTGCTTCTGCCTCCCGAGTGCTGGGAATAAAGGTGTGCATCACCACTGCCCAGCTGAAAAAAAGCATTCTTTAAGTATTAAAAGTTTTACTGAACCTAAAAATCTTCAAGTTATTTCCTTTCTTTTTGTCTCTGTCTTTCTCTCTCCTTCTCTCTCTTTCTTTCTAGTTTTCAGAGAATTTAGGACATTTTCTTGGCTCTTTAGAAGCATCTTAGATGGCAGGTGTGCTTACAATACATAGAAGATAAGTCTGCCCTGAGGATGGTATGTAATAATGTGATAGTGGTAGTGCACCTGCCAATTTGTCTGGCAGTGACCGTGAGTGCCACATATTATCCACTGTGGGCAGGCAGCAATGTGGATGCTTCAGACGTAAGACACACTTGGGTCTTGTGGTTTGGAAAGCTGAAAAGAAACATGGAGGAAGAGCAGTAAAATCAAAGGCAAGGACCAAGAAACAAAGAAAACAGGGCCTTGTGGGGCCTGGGTATGTTGGTAGAATTATAAGATTTAAACAGTAGCGAGAGTAATAAACCAGAAAAGGCTTGTAATGAAACCCCATGACTCCAGTTAATGGGCAATATGTAGCTAGAAAACGACTTGGATGAGAAGCAGCACTTCACACGATTACCTTTGACTCAATTTCACACAGGCACACTGCATATGAGAAGGCACCAGGCATCTCTCTCTACACTGAGCTAAACTCCTGCTAAAGTTAAAAAATGACAGAGAAGATGGTCACAGGATTTCAGACAACGAAGATTTGGATTCATCCAGCTTCCCAGACACTGAGATCACTGTTGCTCACCAGACCAGGTTCAAAGAGTATGAAGTGAGCTTCCTTGTTTCTAGGAGGTGAAACGAGCTAGGAACTTAATAAGCTGCCAGGAACTGGAGCCACCACAGGCTGAGAGCAAAGCTGGAGCGGCTAGACATTCTTGAACACTCTTCCTAGAACCCAGGAACAGGAAGTTAGGCCAGCATTTGGAGCAGCACCCAGAGTGCACCTTGGTGTTCTTAAAGGGCCAAATGTTATTTATTAAGCGGTGCAATATTATTCATTATGCGGTGCTGTTTACCATGCGAGAAAAGCCATGAGGTACAACAAAACCCACTATAAGACTTTATTAAGGGAAGGGAACAGAGGGGATGTGCTTAGGCCTACGGAAGATTGTGCAGGAAAAAAGGGCGGAGGGATAAGTGGGGACCGCTTTTATAGATTCTGCCCGCACATGCGCATATGGGCTTACGTAGCTATGCCACGCATGGGCAGAGATTACACGATCATGCTGCGCGCAAATTACATGATCATATAGGGCACGGATTAGCAAGATGTAAGGCCTTGGGATGACTAAGCATCTTGCCTGACTACTGGACAGCGCATGTGCAGCCATGTAGCTGGGAGAGTGGCTAAGAGTTCTAGCACCAAACCCATCAGCCATGCCAGAATCCAGCTCTCCTGATTGATTTCCAACTTCTGTCCCCCAACTACGTTTACTGGAAAGCTCGTGTAGCATTCTTCTGGGTAATTTATAAGGTATTGCCCAGCAAGAAATTCCCAGCATGAAGGTCAATCTTCTGAGCTCGTCCTTGAAGCAAATGTATTTGCATGTAAGTGGATGGAAGTGGGTTAATATCCAGGGACAGCTTACAGCACTTTTATTTCAGCCATCAAACTGAACCAAAAATATAGTTCGATTGGAGGTAATTTCTTGGTACTACTGCTCTTTTGTTACTTTCTAAGATGAGTTCTTATGAAAACAGTCTACTGTGAGCTATTTGTTTATGCCGTTTTTAGGAACGGACTTCAAATAAAAAGGCGAAGTTCCTCTACAATAGTATAGCAATCTAGGACGTAAAAATTATTATTATTACCGAGTGCTTACAGTGCAGAGAACTTTTCACACAGCGTGTTTACTGTTTACTTCCTCTACACAGGGAATTAACAGCGTTAGATTATGGACAATGCAGGGAAACACGTCTCTCTAAAGCCCCTCTGTCAAAACAAAAACTAACAATCACACAATTAACTTCCCATTCATTTCAGTAAGTATCCATCTATAAAGAAAGTTCTAGAAAGACAAACTTACACTTCCACCTCATGATCAAGTTAGATCACGGCTGTCCTGTCTATCATTTCCCCCTCCCTTTGGTTATTTTCATTCTCTCTCTCTCTCTCTCTCTCTCTCTCTCTCTCTCTCTCACTTTAAGCTGTCTCTCATGATGAAGTGCCTCTCCAGGTTTTAAAAGGCAACCACTCTTTGCCTTCAGGCACCCGTCATGTTGTTTCTGATTGGGTGTTTCTCTATCCTTCCTAATTGCTGTCCCATCTCAAGGCCAGACCTCAGTTCCTTGCATGGTCATGGGGCTCTCTCCTAAGGAAGCTCATTCTGAAGGATGGTTGGCCTCAGCTTCGTTTTCTGTGAACCCATCTCTCCTTTCTTATACTTAGGTACACAGGGACTTTTCATCTCAGCTTCCCTCATTTTAAGGCATTAAAAACACTATAGTCTCCAAATGTGTTTCCTCTCCCATCCAAATGCCTTACTGAAGTGTCAGGAAACCATCTACCTGCCCCGGAGACCAGATTCTTGACCTTTTCCAAGAGTAATCTCATCCTTTCCCACTTTGATGCCTTTTCTAATGAACCCCCAAAGTCTTTCATTGGCCCTTATCTCTTTCCTGAGCTCTGGTCTTTATTCCTAAAAATATCAGTTTAGGAAGTGTCCCACCACCTCCTTCTAGCTAAAATTTCCCAAACCAGAGTCAACCCTGCCACTGCTCCAAGTCAGCTGTCTGTGTGTCTTCTGTCTTGGTGATTGGCATTCTTCCCCTTCCAATTATCCAGCTCTGAGATCTGAGTCCTTCTCAACTCCTCCTTCTCCCACACCCCTCCATCCAGATGTCTGACTAATTCTGTTGTTTCCACCTTTGATCTATCTCTGGAATCCAGACTTTTCCCTTTCTCCCTATGTGTGCCTACTGCTTTAATTCAGTGCCTTTGTATTGCTGGCCTTGACAGTGCTTGTTAAGACAGATTCTTAATATAGCTTTTCCCCACCCATCTACCCCACACTAGGTGCCTGGAGTAGCATGAATTTTAAGCACATCCCTGTTTGCATAGAAACTTTTTGTAGCTGCCCCCTAACACCCCCTTTTAAAAAAATCTAGTTAAGGCAAAAAAAAAAAAAAAAAAAAAAAAACCCTCCTGCAATGTAGATTGAACTGTTTCCTCTCTCCTCCTCCTGATTCCTAAGTTGCTGTTCTAACCCACAATGTGATGATATTTCCAGATGGAGTCTTTGAAGGTGATTGAAATTAGATGAGGTCATGAAGGTAGACCTTCAAGATAGAATCAATGCCTTTATAAGAAGAGGTACCAGAATGCTCCCTTCCTATCTCTTTGTACCTCAGAAGGATATGGCAATACTCTGGCCATCTTCAGATCAAGAATATCATCTCTAGAACCTGATCACACATATTAGACTTCGCAAATTCCTGAGTTGTAAAAACTATTTCTGTTGTTTAAGCCACCTAATCTTTGGCATTTTCTTCTGACTGCTAGGACTGACTAGGCACCTCCCTTATATCATGGTTGCCCCTTTTAGGAGCTCATTTCTTAACCGATGTGAATTCTCTTCTGGGTATGGAGAATTCTACCATTTGCTAAGCATAGTAATATTTTTTTTAAATTTTTATCCTCTTATTTTCAGATTCACTCAGCCTACAATATTTCTATTGCCTTCATACTCTGCCAAAATGCCATTCAACTTTATGTTCAGGTCAGTGTTGTGCATTACAAATGATTGAGAGTGAGGCAGGCTGAGGCAGGCAAAATGATGTAAAAGGACAAGCTGAAATATGAGGCTCGAGGAATGAGTAGGAAGCACTAAAAACCTAGATAGAGGCCAGCAAGAATCAACCCACAAGAAAAGTGAGATGAGGTTGCTGTGACCGTACAACTCTGGTACCACTGCTACCCATAAGTCAAGGCCTCTTCCTGCTCTGCTGCCATCAGGCCTGCCAGGGAAGTGGATGCTTCTCTGTATCTGCTCCATGTCAGCCGCAGTAAGAACTGGGTGTAAATTATGTGCCAGTAGCCTGTCAGCCAGGGCACTGAGGAAGGCCATATCCAGATGACTTTTGCTTTGGTGATAGCTAGTTGCTTCCCATCTAGAAGGTGTGTATGAAAGGAATTTTCTAATCCCAACAAGATGCTTTGTCATGAAGAAAATTTTATTCTCTATCAACAATAAGCTTCCTTTTGGAGATTTATTTCATTTGACTGAAACTAATCTTTCTGTTCTTAGTGGTATACCTACAGTATTTGATATGAAAAAACAAGTCATTTTTAACATTCCTTCTATATAAAAGCTATTTTTAAATAATAATCATATAATGATGACATTGATTATTGATTGATTGATTTATTATTTATTAGCTTTAAAATCAAGGACACATAGAAATAAAAATGGGACCAGGGAATTACTCAGAGGGTAAGCATGAGGACCTGAGCTCAGTCCTCAGCATCTAGGTCAGCAGCATCCAACTGTAATCCAGAATCCAGGTCAGCAACATCCAATTGTAATCCAGCATCCAGGTCAGCAGCATCCAACTATAATCCAGCATCCAGGCAGCAGCATCTAGCTGTAATCTCAGATCTGTGGGAGGAAAGGCCCTGGAGCTCATTGGATGGCCAGTGTAGCCAAATTGCCAAGCTGGAAGTTTGATGAGAGACTCTGTCTCAAAAAATAAGGAGAGTGATAGAGGAAGACATTAAACATGGATCTATGGCACACAAACATTCACACCCAGGCAGAAGCACATATATACATTCATGCCTGCTGTCATGTCACCCATAAAATGTCTATTTAAAGCATTTTTAGATTAAAGTGTTAAATAAAAATGGAATAAATGTTATGATTATATTAAAATGCAAATGTATTTAAATCTGAAAGAAAATCAGTACTTTATTTCACATATGAACTGAAATTTGCACTTGTCCAACAGAATATGTTATACTGTGTATTCATATTTTTCACTGTTTTAGATTTTATCTATAACTAAGTACTCGGAGTCACATAGATTGGAAGGACTGAAATACACAAATTGTCTCTTTTCATCTTTAATTGTCATGCTAACACACTGATGCTTTGCCTCCTGTCAAACCTGCCATTTAAATGGAACACCCTGGGGCCTGGGAACATTAAATGTTGCTTTAAAGCACTTGGAAGATTCCCAGCCTTTTTACCAACCTGCTTTCCAGACAGATCTGAATAGCCGAGTCTGCATGCCAGGAGTAAATGGATGGCTGGGCACTCTTTGAATTAACTTCCAGGTACAATACAGTATGTAGTCACAATTATGGAATTAAATGTGCTCATTGAAACCTACATATATTAACACTCAGGAAAAAGTACAATAATTATTTCACCCTAAAGCAACATTTCACTTAATATCACTCCATAACTAATCACCTCAGAGCTGACAGAGAACAACCATTTACATACTCATAGACTCTGTAGGTCAGACAATTGAAAAAGGCACAGTGTGGTTCGGTCATGTTTACATTGTTTCTGCTTTCTACTGGGAAGACTCAAAGGTACAGTTAGGAGTAACAGGAGTCCATAGTCAGGGTGTAGAATCAACTGAAAATTGTTTATCTCCCTGTTCGTCCCAGCTGGGAGAAATGAAGGCTAAGGCTGACTACGCATGAACTATCCACCTGCCTCAATTTCCCCATAGTGGTGGAACAATTGGGTCTTGCTGACTATAAGATCCTGGTAACATTTAGAATGATGAGTGCATGGCAATAATAAAGACCAGGAAGACATCTGGTAGGTTTTATTTTTGCAACCATTCATTATCTGCACTTGGGATGGATCCTTCTCATAGCATGTCCCTGTGTAAGTTCTAATCTCCACAGGCCTCTATAATTTAGCAC